AGCAAACACCACTTTGTGTACGACTCTGACTTTCTGTTTGGAAAAAAGGTCAATTTACCTTCCCACATGGCAACACAAAGGCATCACTTAACGTCACATGTATTCCATATATGACGAGTGCGGACCCTTCAGAAAGTATTCATGTCTTGTTTCTTTTTTAGATAAACTTGAGTGCTTGTGTTGTGCGGTTCACAGCATAACAACGCAGAGCATTCAGTTTGTGGATTCATTCCTCCCCACAAAACAAACATGGATTGACTATGATCAGTTGGATTGGCAGGTTACTTAATATGTCACCCATAGCACCATATTTTACTCAAAAACACATTTATAGTGTGGTGTGACCTGGAAACATTTTCTGTTATTTCACAACCATCCATTGTTTGGTTAGCTGAACAACAAAATTCCTTATATAAAAAAGGATCACTTTTACAGCATGCTTTAAAGAGAATGCTAATGTTTTTCCTGCCCCCCCCCCAACCCATGACCAAGGAGGTCAAATAATGTCTCTGAGGGTACACCAGAATGCTAACTAGTCCTCAGGAACTGCCAAGTGTTGAGAAAAGCTTTTTAAATATTGATTGTGAGGGTGATTAATATTTCATATTGGCTGGGGTGGGCTGTGCTAAAACAGAGCAGCAGGGGGGCTGCTGAAGGTGTGACTGTTGACTTAGCATTACTAATTGATCGCCTCCGACAGACTACAATGGGCCTCTTCAGTCAGTCACCGGAGGGGATGTATCGACATTGACTCTCACACTTATGATTTAAAAGAAATTACCTGAATGTTACATTTTCTATAAACAAACAAAGTGTGTGAACATGAACATACATGCCAGCTGTATCAGAGTGTGAGCTGTTCATGTGGACGTATCAGCTTCTTTTTTTCTTTTTTTTAAGGTTTATTTGTTTTTTTTTAGTGCCTTTATTTGAGAGAAAGGACAGTGGATAGAGTGAGAGATTCGGGGGGAGAGGGAGGGGGGAATTACATTACAGGTGGGAATTGCAAACAAATGGACAAGATATAAAACACTTTAACGAACGCTGAGACACACTTACAAGTGGCACACTTTTGCCAGTCTCCAAAACAAATTAACAAAAGGCACAATCTTGCCGTAAAGGAAATGTACCTAATGCCAAAAGTGACCCGCAAGTGATTGAGTAAAATCCCCCAATGCCCCAAAATGTTGTGGTTGGTAAATTTGTTTTCTGAAATCTAAATTAGTTTTGTCCTTGGTTTCTTTGCTTTTGTAAATTTGTTTTCTAAAATCTAACAGTGTTTCACTCCTTGTAATTTTGTTTGGCACTTCCCAGCCACCATAATATAATGCAGAAATGTTGGATATCAGCATATTCAGCTTCTTATATATACATGTCCTGACAAGATCTTCCCTTTATTCTGTGAAATATTCAATCTTATAACACAAATGCAGCAGCACAATAATGTAAAGCAGGAGAAGGATAACAGAGGATGTTTTTTTTTTAACCTGCACTGTAATCTCAAACCCCTGGTGAAATGCACTTTAGCGGATAAAACACTAACAGCCGAGTAATGAAGCTCTCACCTCACATATTTTAATTAGAGGAGAGAAAATGAAATCTGAGCTCATTATGAGAGATGTGTGACCGAGTGAAGAGATGCTCTGCAGGCAGGTGTTCTCCCCTGAGGTCTGTCTGTCTGTCTGAGTCTGTCTTTCTCTCTCTAGCCCCTCTCTGCCCCCATTACCCTTCCTCACTCCTCTGTCACTGACAATTAGCACAGGGCCATGACTTCATCCACTAATGGTTATGAGAGGAGCTGACAGGAGAGCAGACTTTGGCGTATGCAATATGGATGGAAGCCTTCTGCCTGCCTGACTGTGTTTCTCAACTTCCTTTGTCCTTTTGTCCGCCATTAGAGTTGTTGTTCGCAGAAATCGCTCCACAGACATAAAGGAGGTTGACTTGAAGGTCAAAGTCAGGGATTTTAAAAGTTACGTGAAGATTTGAATGCATTAATAAAACAACTTCTCCCATTGTTTCTGCCAGAGGAGTTTGTACTTCTATTTTCCTCTCATATCCATGCAATGAATCAATTCTAGTGTATTATTTCAGCCATCTCACAGCAGGGGGCTCCGGAGGCTAATTGGCAGCAGCCGCCATGCTGGAAATGCTGTCTCTGCCTAACTTTCGGTCAACCTAACGACAGGCTGAGAGCTGGAGCTGAGGCGGGTTTAAAGCCTCTTGACACCTGTCAATCATGTCAGCTAAGCGCTTAATTATGGATAACACATATCGTTTTTAAAATCAAAATGGAGCCGCTTTTTAAAGATTCACCCCCCCGTACAGTGTGTTCCCATGGGGACTTTAACTAATCAGTTTCGTTTCTTGTACCAGGCTGTAAACATGTTTATTTTATGCTGTAAAAACTGTTTTTCTGCCTGTCATGTGTATGTGATGTCCCGTGTTCTTGGAGCCAGCCTCAAGTGGACACGCGACGAACTGCAGGATTTTGCATTGGCTTCATTTTTCAAGACCGGAGGTTGACGCTTGCTTTGTGTCTGTATTTCTGCTGAGAGAGCCAGTGTGTGGTTCCATTAAATGCTTGCATTTCAGTATACCTGCATCAAATCACATTGTATCGTAACGCAACATGTTATATCCTATTGCATCATTTAGCGTTTAGCGCATCACCACGCAATGCAATCCATCACCACTCAACGCCACGCCTTGCATCGCATCTAGCATATCGTGTTGCACTGTTTTGCATTTTATCGCATCGTTTTGCATCACATCAAATTATATCAGTTTGTATCATACGTTCTATTGTCTCGTCTTGTCTCGATGTCATCACATCGCATCACATTGCATGGTATATAGTGGTATTTGGGTCAATATCTGTTAATCTGTTGCAGCTGCATCAGGGCCCCATGGATGTAAACAAAAAAAACTACAAGGTATTTTGTATTTTATTTGAATAGTACAAAAAGTACCTCAAAATGTCAACATTAAAGGGACCTTTATCTCCCCACAATGGGTTGTTGTGGTCCTTGTTTCATTTCCTGTAACAAAGTCCAAGTGCCCTCCATCTTAACCAATAAAAGAGCCAAGGCCAGCCAATCAGAATTCATTTTATTTGTGGCCACATTGCTCTGCCTCTACAGCAGTTCTGTTTCAGTCATTTTACCTGCTTGTGGGTGTTTGGGCGATTGACGTATAAGAGTAGGAGTGTGTTTGTGGGTGTGGATGTGTGGGTTAGGGTGTGGTGGGGTTGGGGGTTGGAGGGTTGTGGACACACTGAGGAGAAAATCAGGGAGAAACAAAAAGGCAGCACATGTCGTTATATATGTGTGTGCATGTGTGTGCATTGATTTTCAATAGCACTGACAGTGCCCAGGCATGTGTGGAGCGTTGCCCAAAGAGCATTAGACTGTTCAGCTGTGACGGACCTCCAGCTTCTGCTGCACACGGCTACACCAAACCATGATCAACCCCGAGAAAAATACCTCAAAATAAACAGGTTGTACAGGTCATCTTTCTTGATTATGTGGTCGATGGTGTGTCGGTGTTAATAGCTCCTGCTGTAAGAATAGATTTCAAGAGAGCTACTGTTGCAATAATGAGGAACAGAAGCAAAAAAACTCAATTACATTGACAATGTGCAGCATTAACCGCTGGAACTTACAGTCACAGATGACATTTTTTCTTCGATTTAAGTGGTTGAGTTATCAATCCATTACGATGGATTTTAGGTAAATTCAGAAAACGTAATAGTGCTATCATCGAGGCTGTTGATGTCTCGTTTCTTTTTCTAAAACATTGCTCTGTCTCTTATTACTGCTGAGTCAATACCAAGCAGCTCTCCTCTTAATGAGTCGATCTGCAGAGATCTAAATCCAGTCAACTCAGCACCCTGCAGCTCAGCCAAGTGGTAAAAAAACGGGGTGGTGCGAGCCTCTGCGGTTATTTGCTGTGTCAGCTTGTATTGACTGTTTGTATCAGGTGGGACCAGGAGACGCGGTGTGAAAGACCATACATTTATTAATGTAATGCTATAAGATTAGAATGAACATGACATAGTTACAGCTGCAATGCTCTTGTCTTTGTTGTCTTTGAAAAAAAGTTGGGAGAACCAATGATAATCTATAGGCTATACAATGTGGATGTAGCCTCAGTGTTTTTTTGAAAAGGACTCCTGAAGCCTGATGATGCCGATCACCATATTGGGAACAATGTCTCACCTCATGTTGGTCAACCTAACAACATGAGGTGGAGCTGAGGCGGGCCCTTAAGCTTCCTGTCAGCCAAACATATTAACCACTCATATCCTTCATCAAATCAAAACAGAAGTGTTATCAAAAAAATTCACACCCCCCCATAACAGTGTGTGTTGATAAAGACATGAAGACGGCCTGATTTTTTGTTGGATCACAGTTTAATTGTATGTTTACTCATCAGATAAATCTTTTTTTTTTTTTTCATTTTACCAATTAAAATAAATCTAATCAAGTAATTCAACATGAAAATTATTTTTCCCACCAATAGGTACATTCATATATGTGAAAGAAAATAGTGGTAATAAGATGATTTATTATTCATCACTGCTTAAAAAAACAACTTTTCCAATCAAATCACATCAGCATTTGTCATGGTACTGGAAATGTAATGACAGAATACTAACTAAAATCAATGTTGCATAGTCAGAGCTTGTTTAAAGATCCACAGTAAATGACAGATAGTTGCTGTTTGACTGAATGATGGAAGTCAGTGAGCATTAATGGAAGTCTTTGCTGCCCTCTATAGGCGAAAGCAATTGTTAAACGTCCAGAATGAAAAAAAGGATTTTCAGTAAATTTTAACACAGCGTAGTTACAACCTGCATGTGTGTCCCAGTGAAATGGAATTATATATTATAACCCTGTCCACAGTGAGTTCTCCTGAGGGGGGGGGGGGGGGGGGGGGGGGTGCTCAAGGGCATGTCGGCAGTGCTCAGGAAGTCAACCAGTCAACCAGACCAGTTTCCAGACAGGGTCTGCACTGGGACTTGAACCCAAGACTCTCAACTGAACTCCCTACAGACTTAGAGCTGCCTATCAAACATCTTAAAGAGGAAATCACTTAAGAGAAACTACAGGTTGGGCACAGTCACCGCTGGAAATGTAGTTTTTTTTATCGGAAACTGTATTGTGTATTTTGTTTGAAGTCTTACATGCCCTGTAAGTTATAATGTGGACAAACAGGAAAATACCAATGAAAAATAATGAGTTCACAAGCTGAATAACACTCCAATTAATACCAGTTACTGAGTTAATATATATTTAGTTTAGAAGTTTTATAACACCGGTTCCTACTGGCTTCACAAGGTAGCCTAAAGTCTTCTGACATCAGCAGCTAAAACGACTTTAGAGTAAAAAGTTCAGAAAACAGTGTTATCTTGCAATTCTTTAGCTTGAAATTATGGAGTATTTATTAATCGTTTTAATGTAAATGCAAAGAATATTTTGTGTTCTTCACATAGAGATTGAGCTCTACTTGTTTCCATTCAAGTCAGGACCACTTTTGGTTCAGGCTCATCCCTTTCCACGTCCTCTAGCATCCTCCTCTCGGTATGGAACTTATTGAGGCAGTCCTCACAAAGGAAGCTCTCCTTCACCATGCACATTCTCTCGGTGTTCATGGAATCCTGGCTGTCTGTTTTCTCAGTGAGGAAGGGGTTTCTGTCTAGGTTGACCCTCTCCAGATTTGTCAGCCTGGACAGGCAGCCAGGGAAGCGGGTGAATCTGTTGTCCGAGAGGCCAATGTGACGGAGCTCTTTTAATCCTGCGAGGGAGGCAGGGAGGGCGTCCAGCAGGTTGAGCCCCAGGTTGAGTGTGCGGAGCTTCACCAGGAAGCCGAGCTCATTGGGGAGGCTCGTCAGACGGTTGTTACACAGGTTCAAAATCAGGAGGCTCTGCAGACGACCGATTGTCACAGGGAGCGCCTCCAGCTGCAGAAAAAAAACAGTAACACATTCAGTAATGCAAAGCATGATGCCTTGCAACATTCAGTCCTTATATTTTTAAATTACAATAATTTCTTGATAACTTTCTTGATACTTTATTGCTCTTATTTTTCTGTCTATATTAGGCTTTTGGGCACATTCATACTTGGCATGAAAACAAGTGTAAGACACCTTGGCATCCAACTAGAGACTTTGTAATTACAAAGGCATTTTGGTTACTAGATTACAAATAAAACATTGCATCACATTGCAAACATTTGTTTTCCAAAACCCACTGTGCAAACCTCTACTGTGGCTGCAGCATGTAACAGACAATAGGCACACTGTGTCATTCCATGGATATATTAGGAATTCATGACACAAGGCCAAAACAATATTTCTCCCACACACTACCTTGCATTTGGCAAGTGGGAGATGCTTTTTAAAAAAAAAAAGTAAAATGGGGATTCAGGGATACCGTTGGACCTTAAAAACCCTGCTGCCCTCTAGAGGGCTTTTCCAGCTCTGCATACATAATACAGCAACCAGAAAATCTGAAATGTATCCGTGGATATGCTATCACAGGACACAAAAGGAACCCAGTGAGTCAATCTATGTACACTAAAATGGTTACCGTGGAAATGTATGGAACAAAGTCAAACGAAGTGTGCAAAGGAAAGTACAACCTGCAAATGAAACCATATTCATAAAAGAAATGCATGGTATCCAAAAGTGTGAACATAATCTTAAATGAATGAATCTACATCATAAGAAACAAACTTACACAGATCATGAAATGTGTTACTAAACAAGGGTTAACCTTCAATACCATTAGAGCCTTCACTTCCCACAGTGCAATTTGATACCCAAAGTGGATGCATGGTAAACACTCACAAGCTTAATGAGGTCTAGGTCATGGTTTCAGTTTTCTGAAGGGACAGACTTGATGATGATAAAGGGACTTTTAAAAGACTTTTTTTATTTTATTTTTTTTATACAAAAGCTATTTATAGCTCAATGGTTCCACGATAGCGTTACAGGTTAAATTAGTGGGATCATGTTTTAATAAAAGGACATATTATAAATCCTTTTCTACCTTTTCAAACAGTCCCCTGTGGACTAAATAAAACATCTGTGCTGTGCTTTGGTCAAAGTATAACATGAATCAAGCACCAGAGGAGGTTTGTGACCCTGTATAAACAGCTCTCTCAAAATGCTCCGTTTTCGTGTGTGTCTCTTTAAATTCAATGAGCCCCCCTTGAGTTTTTCCGGTCGCCATAAAATAAAAATGGCGGACCTGTGTAAAAGTTTTGCTCTAGGCTGGGTGTGGAGTCCATGGATGGAGATAGCAAAAGGGGAGGATTTTTTTTTTTTTTTTTACCAGATTCCCCTTGTGATGTCACAAGGAGAGCAAATTTGAAACAGAGCAATGTTCTCTGTGTTGTAAGACTTATGCAGACCACAAACAAAGGACTGAATGGACTTATTTCACATTTTGTGGATCAGTAGACACTCAGGTTACCCAAATATATGTTTAGAACATTGTAAAAGTGGATTTTTTATAATATGTCCCCTTTAAAATCCTGATAATTACAGCATGAAAAAAAGTCAATAAGGTTTCAGGATAAGGATCGTATTGTGATTTGAAGCACTACAGTAACATTTTTAACAGTCACTCAATAAAGAAACTTCTAAAGTCACACAAACCAGAATATGTCCAGTGATAACCTCTTACATAGTTGCTGTGCAGATCCAGAACTTGGATTCTGATGAAATTGTCAGTGAAGTCCGGGACTTTTCTGATGAAGTTCCTGCTCAGGTTCAGCTCGTCCATCTCAAACAGCTTCTGGATACACGTAGGCACCGTGCTGATCTCCTTAAAACTCAGGTCCAGACTACGTTTGCCATCCATTGCCAGCTTCACGCAGTCCTGTGCCATTTTCAACGTGATAGTCTTACTTTTAGTCTGTGTGGCTTTCTTTCCCTTGGCCATGCTGCTGCAGAGAGAGAGATGGGACACAGATGTGATCTGTAGTTAAAAGCTGTAGTCAGTGATACACTGTGACAGAGGAGCTGACAGTGGGAGCCATGTAAGAGATTATGTTACCCAACACAGCTCAGCTCCCTGCAGATAACATATCTGTTACATTATCGCACATGACTGACAAAGTATGGCAGAGCAAATTAACTCATCATTTCAATCCCCTTTTTAATAAGTGCCCTAAGAGTTTATAATCTGAGTACAGACAGAACAACAATTAATGAGGAAATCACAGAGCAATTCTCCTGTGCTTTACAGTAACTCGTCCAGAAGATGATTGTATCTAAAAGAGAAGTGCGACTTTTTGATCCAGTAGATGTCGCCCTTGAGCACCAACATGAAACCAAAACAAAACTGCTGTTCGGCGACACCTCCACTATTCTGACGCCTCCGCTCTCTTCCAGCGACACACCAAACTGCCCTTGGCCTCGAGCTGCAATTGTCTGTTTTCTGCATTGTTGTGTTAGCAGGCTAATGTTAGCACACTTTAGTTAGCTTGTAGCTTCACATTGCACATAAATTGACAAATTTTATACACAAGGGAATGAGCCGGCCGGCCGTCCCGTCCATGTAAACACGATTTTAATATGGTTCAGACAACAACACAGCCAGCAGGATTTGCACTTCTCACTCACTGTAGACAGTCATGACTCAGAGAGACACTTGAATTCTGCTATGTATATGTAAAAGGTCGCTCATTCTGCCTCTAATGAATGTTGCGATTCTTACGGCATTAGATCACATGAGTAGAAGTATTTATGAAAGCAAGTTAAAGTAAATCTTTACTTGTTTCAAACATAAGCACACAATACGTTCTCTACTAAAAACAATGATTTCCTACCTGCATTAACAATCCACTCCCTTTAATCCGGCACAGGGAGGAAAATGGAAAGACACTAAATGAGATACAAAATCTAATCTGAAAGTAAACTCTGTATCAAGAGAATTCCATAAAAAGTACTACATGTGTAGATTTGTAGAAAGAAAGAGCCGACATGTTGCGCAGTGTTTTTTTTTCTGTCAGACAGACTCACTTGGCCAGACATGGGATTTGTTTTCGTCTGTTCCCAGGCAACTGCTGTCTGCTGTCAGTAAACTTTATGACTGTGAGCAGCTACAGCAGCACAGTTTGTTCTTTTACCGGGTCTGTATTTGGAAGAAATTTAAATAATAAAAAAAAAAGACAGCAACTGTTTCCAGGAGCATTCTGCTCAAACAAAAACTACAACGATGTCAATGTTATTGACTTAATGTTTGTAAGGTAACAGGGATGTAACAACATGACAGAAAATGACAGAAAATGACAGAATGACTTTTACTGAAGAGACTTTTACAAGTTAAATACAGTGGGATTTGTACCGTGGTTACATGTATTCATATTGTAGTTATTGGCTTATGATTAACTCCCTCAAAATAAATAACCAACTTTGTACTTTGTGACTGGATATGAATTGTCCTTCATAAATCTGTGTCTTGTTGATTTTCTAATATAAAATGTATTGGAAGAAGAAGAAAAAAACTACAAAGCAGGCTTTTCCTTACATTATGCCTGACAAATAAAACACTTGAATGTATTTTCATAATTACATTACTCATCCAAAAAGTCACCTCAACTTAATTTAACTACAATAATTTCAATATCTTCCTGAGACCCAGCAATTCATTTTGTCCACTGTGGGGTACATCATGTTTCTATCTGTCTCATAGTGGTTTGTCCCATTGACTTTCCCAGTTCATTCTTGGACATTAAATGTTTGACGCTTAAGACCAATGAAATCCTGTTACTCACAACAGTCAAATGTCTAATGAATAAAAGTGAAGAGTGAAATGTTCATACAACAAAAAAAAAGACATCAACAGTTATTTTTTATTATGTGGTATTGTTATTTCCTGAGTGTTTACAGTGATATTTATGTGTTTAAACTCAGCTGGGGTGGCAGTAGCTCAGGCTGTAGGGACTTGGTCCGGTTTAAGTCCCGGTGTGGACACAAGTCTGGAAATTGGTCAGGAACTAGAGAGCTGCCAATTCACCTCCTGTACACTGCCAAGGTGCCCTTGAGCAAGGCACTGAACACCCCCACCAGCTCAGGATCGCTCGATGAGGGCAGCCACCCTCACGCTGACATCTCTCCATTAGTGCATGTCCATATGATCCTGTTTGTGTATGTGTGTGGATTTCAGCCACACACATACAGTGGAACAATTGAATTTCCCCTCGCAGGATTGATAAAACAGATCTTCTTCTTCTTCTTTAAATGCTACCCACTTTAGAACATTGAAGTCCCATTGTACACTATATAGTGGACGAGTTGTTAAGTTTTAAATTAATTAATTTTTAATATTTTTTTCTTTGCAAGTTAATTTCATTTGTTAATATTTAACTTCATTTCCCCCTGGGTCTCAGGAGAATATTTATTTATAGTGATTAATTAAACTGCTGAATCAGCAGTTAAGAAACATTCCCTTTTTTCCAATACAAACACATTACAATAATAACAATAATAAAGTTATTACGTCAAAAGAAATTGGTAAAAATAATTTCAGAGTACATGTGTACTGACTCTTGCTGTGTTTATAAATAGTTTACAGTCTGAGCCTTTTTCCAAACTTTGATATGATACATCAGTAACAGAGCCGCTGAACTCTTAAACACCCCCCCCCCCCACATACACACACAACCACATTAACTTGCTCACATGCATTGCATGCAGACTTCTGTCATATCATATTCTTCAGACGTTAGTCAGCTGTGACCTGTCTAAATTTATCTGGTAGGATTTCATATGCTCCTTCAATTAAAGTTAATGCCATGTAGTACCTCATATCATGCAGCAGGTGGGGCTGTCTGTGTACAAACTGTAGTATCAAGACACTCGGTCTTAAATCAGTACATAACCCAGTCAGACACTCCTTCAAAGTTCAATCATCTCTGTTATGAGGGGTGAAAATAAATAAATGTTGTGATTTATAAATAATATGATATTGATTTTAAACAGTTTAACAGTGCCAAAAGTAACAAGGCTCGGGTCAGAGACTGATGATGTCTTATATAGTTAGGTTATGCTGCTCTTGTTATCAGTTTGTATTCAAACTGAAACATTTAACAGAATGTTTCAAGGATTACCAGGAAGTTTTGGCAGACACGTGTTTTCAAGCTCAAACTAGCACTTACTGCAACTCCCCTTAAATAGTTTGTACTACTGTTTGCATTTGGTGAATGCAGTCTCATCATATTACTCTCTTCTTCATTCTTTTGTCAGAGCTGCAAACATTAGATTTTGTTAAAAATATTCAAAACATCATTTGCCTTTTAACTGTCTTGGTCATTTTGTTCAATCAATATCAGACACTTCCAGCTATGAAGAGGATTAGACGGTCAGCTGACAAAAATAACTGGTCACTCTGTCCTGCCAAACACATAGTTAAGAATTTTTAGGAAACTGCATATGACATCCTTGTGAGGAAATACTTCTTAGGTTATATACTAATTAGGTAGTATGCAAATATGAATTTTGGTCAATCATCATTAAAAACCTGTTTGTTATGTGAAAGTCTGCAGTAAACCTGGGGCGGCAGCAGTTCAGTCTGCAGGGACTTTGGTTGGGAACCGCAGGGTCGCCGGTTAAAGTTCTGTTGCGGACCAAAGCTAGAATTTGGTCTGGTAGCTGAAATGTTGCCGGTTCACTTGCCCTTGAGCAAGGCACGAACCCAGCACAATGATCGATCACAGTGGGAAGCCCCCTCACTCTGATCTCTCCGTTAGTTAATGTCCATGATCCTGTTTGTGCATGTGTGTGTATTTAAGCCTGTGTGTGTGTAACATTTATCAACAACAGAGTGTAAAATGTAATTTCCTCTCATGGGATTAATAAAGTCTTCTTCTTCTTAAACAACCTAATCAGGCTAATTATCAAACTACATTATTAAGAGGATATTATGTGCATGTAAATACGAGACATGCACAATGATAAATATAATCCCTTCTTAGAAAGATGATATTCTGCTTGAGTTATGGGATACATTCTACTCTACAGCCGTTAGTAGCAGCTATATAGACAAAAGAAAAGTAGCCATAGAATGCTGTTTCCTGTGATGTTAAGTTACAGACAAACCCAACAGCATTTACTTCTTTGCTACTTCTCCCCCTTTTGGTTGCTGTTGGATTTCATCTTTATTTATGTATTTGTAATCTCCTGAAACAGCAGGCGACAGTATGATGTGCTCGATTATGAGCCAGAGTCACTTCCCAGCAGTGTGGGATACAGGTCAGGAGATAAGCAGGTCACACTGGAGGAAATGGGGCTGACCTAAATGACTGAGGTAGTGTATACGGGAGTTCACATTACTGCTCCTGATGAGTGTATATGTGTTTTATGAATATGGACATACATTAAGAAGAGAAACATATTTCTACAAAGTGTTTTGTCTCTAACCTTCTTTTTAAAATTTATTTCTATCGTTTTTTCCTCACAAAACATTTAGTTGAACATAATGCTGTCTATTCGTCTACAGTTTACATTAAAGTGTAACAAGCCACATATAAAGTAAGCTAAAACTAATTTAACTAGCAAGTTAACATTCATTTTATATATTCATTTAGTTTTTAGGGTTAGCTAGCCTTGCTTACAGGAAATAGTTTAACCAGGGAAAGCTACTGCAGCTTAACAGCTAGAAAGTAGTGCAGAGTTAGCTATTTTTGGCTAGCAAGCTAAAAATGGCAACTGGAGCTGTCTGTTTTTTGATCAATGAAATAATTATTTTTGTTAGACACCTTTTGCACTTTGATAGTTTATTGTGTTCAATGGTTTCTTTTATCTGTCTGAGAGGCTTAAAGTCGGCTTGTAGACTGTGACGTAACACTCAGAGCATGTACACTCCATTTTATTTTTGGTCTAGCTTCAATATAAATCGCACTCACGTAATTTAAATCATTAAGTGATGTTTACTGTACATTTGGAAGGATTTTATAATACCAACATCTGTAGATGTACAACTAACAATTTAAATGTGTGACAGGTAAAAAAAAAGGTTGTTTTTAATTGATTTAGTTTTAGGGGGGGGAGTCCATGTCCAAATAAATAAAAGCTAATATTCAAGTTGATACACGTGTAATGATGAAGACAGACTCTTTACTAACGTCATATATGTCTTCATTCTTATTTGTCTTTTACTGACCTGCCAGCAAGGATTTCCTTTCTTTCTCTCCACATATCCGTCCTTCCTGTCTTCTTTCAGAGCTGCTTGAAAGCATTTGGAAGCGCATTTCCTGCTGGTCACTTCAGTGTTTATTGCTCCACTTTTCAGAAAATGTGTGCTCAAACAGATTAGGGGCGGCTGTGGCTCAGTTGGTAGAGTTGGGCGTCTCGCAACCAGTAGGGGGGAGTTCAAACCCCAGCTCCTGCAGCCACAGCCCGATGTTTCCTTGGGCAAGATACTTAACCCCAAGTTGCTCCCGCTGCTTTGTAGGCAGCGTTTGAATCTGTGTGAATGGGACTTATTTTTACTTCTGATGGTCTCACTACATACAGTAGCAACCTCTGCCATCAGTGTGGGAATTAGTGTGAATTGGTAGGTGTGACCTGGGGTGTAAAAGCTTTGAGTAGTCACCAGACTAGAAAAGTGCTATACAAGCTCAAGTCCATTTAACATTGTTTAGAGATTTTCCCTTCATGACATCACAAAGGGCAGTAATCCCTCCCCAAGATGGATGACTTGCTTGGTGCAAGAAAGTCCAGGCCTTAACCTCTTCTAGAGGGGCGTGGTCCAACACAGCTCATTTGCATTTAAAGCTACAGACACAGAAACGGTGCAGGGCTGAAATAGAGGGGTTTAAAGGAATGCTAAAATACAGAATTGGATTGGATTTTTGGAGGAAACTTCACAGACATATTTTGGGGGGATCTGAGACTTATATACTGGTTGAAAATGAGTATAATATGTGACCTTTAAAGGGGCCACGCTGACAGGCATCTCCTGTGGCTAATATATCTACTATTGACAAGTACCTCAT